AAATTTAAAAAGATCTTTTATCGAGAGATTTTTTTGTACTATCATAGTTTATGGGCTAAGATGAGTGGAAATAATGAATTAGGTCAAAATCCAAACCATGTTTTTACCTGGAAAAACCAAGTCGCTTAATAAACAGATGCGAAAGAGCCCCGGACTTCAGAATTGAAAAATTTTTTCCAACTCAATAATTTGTTTTCCGGAAAGTTCTTTAAGTGGTGCCTTCGCCAATTTTTCAGCAAGTGTGGAAGTAGGTAGGGGTCTGAATTTTTTAATTAATCCCAGGCTGTTCAGGAACTTCAAAACAGATGCACTAAAACGTTCTCCCAAACGATCTGTGTTTTTTCGAAGTAATAATCCGGGTCTGAAAATAGTGAAGGAGTTAAATTTTAGTTTTGAAATATGCTCTTCCAACTCACCTTTTAATCTTGAATAAAAAACACTGCTGGACGAAGAAGCTCCATATGCCGATAATAAAACGAGAGACGGAACTCCATTCTTTTTTGCAAGGTCGGCGAATCGAGCAGGGATCTCCAAATCAATATGACGTTGTTTTTCTTTGGAGCCTGCAGCTTTTAAGGTTGTACCAAGACAAGAAAACAAAACATCTCCTTTAATAAATTCTGTAACTTTTTCAGGATTATCAAAATCTGTTATCACTTCTTTGAGCTTAGCATTATGCAAGCCACTTGCACGACGCACGAATATGATAACTTCTGTGTAATGAGTGTCTTTTAAAAGAATGTCTACCAGGTCGGTACCTGTTGCGCCCGTTGCTCCAATAACCAATGCCTTCATTTTTCTGATTTTTTTGAGTTAATTATTCTTCTGTCTTAAAACAATGCGCAACAAAGTCGTTCAATAGTATTTTGCAATACTTACAGATTATCTTTTGCAATTACGGTCCAGTCGCTATTGCCAAAGCCTTTATCAATCCATTTATCCATTTCTTTTGCAATAGCAGGAATGGCGGCAAGATGTTTTCCCGCTGCGTCCGCTTCTT